TGGAAGAAAACAAGGAATGATATCTTTATGATCTTGAAATAGTATATTATTTATTTTAAAAGGCACAAAAAAAGACCAATCATAGAATATTACAAAAATAAATATGTTTGGATTTCAAAATTGTGTTTATTAAGCACATCATAAACAAAGTTAAAAGATAAAAGCCACAGAAAAGAACATATTTTGCAGTGCATATAACAAACAACCTGAATATATAAGAAATCCCTGTAAACAAATCGTTTAAATACCCCAATAGAAATTCACATTCCCCAATATTATTCCAATACCCCAAAAGAAAAATGAGCAAAGAATATGAATAGGTGATTCCCAGAAAGGGAAATTCAAGTTGACAATAATAATTTGAAAAGATGTGTACCTTTCTAGTAATTAGAGTAATACCAATTATAAAGACAATAAGATAACACTTCACACCCTTCAGACTGGCAAGGATTATATTTCATAAACTATCAGTAGGACGGTAAAAAATTTTGGTGAGTAATGGGACACCATCTCTTAAGACCGAAGATGCAGGCAACTCTTGGACCCAGCAGACACAAGAAAAGAGGTACAGAAAATATTCGTAAGAGTCAATTTCCAACAGTGGAAACTTACAAACAACCTAAATTCCATCGCCAGGAGAATGGATAAAGTGTGGTATATGCGGACAGTGGCCATCGGACTCGAGCTGCGTGCCTGCATGTGGATGGATTATCAAAAGCAAGTAGTAGACTGCTCTGTGAGGTATGATACCATTTACGTCACGTGGGAAAACAGAAAACAGCACTGTATGTTATTTATGGGTACATAATTATATGGAGTAAGAGTAGAACAAATAAATACCAAATTCAAGTCAGCGATTACCTCAGGTTGAATGCTATGAGGCAGAGAAATACAACTAAGGAAAAGAACACAGAGGCTTCATCCTCATCTTCAATTAAAAAACAAATCTGATTCAAACACAGTAAAATATTAAGACGCTATAAAGCCAGGAGTTGAGTACACTGCCATTCATTTTAAAATTCTGTGTACTTTTCTATATATTTGAAATTGTTCATAAGAAAAGAGAAATGCTTTGATGCTATGAAATGTGTTCAACTACGTTAACACGTAGCAACAGCAACAAAAATTTCCTTTGTCTGTGTCCTAATACCTTTTTCCACAGCAGACTCAAATGTCAACTCTGTGACTTTAGGCAAGTTGTTTAAAGCCTCTGAGCCTTCATTTCCCCGTTTATTAGTTGAAGATAATAATAACGCCTGCCTCACAGTGTTGCTGGAAAGAGAGCTCAGTACAGTACATATGGTACACGGGGCTTGCGCCGTGTTGATTGGTTGATCTAACAGATAGTCATTGAGCCTCTACTCTGTGCCCGGCACTGTTGTGGACACTGATTATGGAGTACAGTGGGGAGAAAAAAGGCAGATAAACATCTGCTTTTATGGAGCTTGTAGTCAAGTGTAGGGAGGCACGTGATACAGGTTATAAAGTACAGGGAACGGTGATAAGCACTAGGGAGAGAAAGCCCAGGGTGTTAGCTGTAACTGCCTCTCTCGCGGCTGTCTGTCTTTGATGTTTCTCTCTTCCTCCCTCCACTCTGCCCCCCCTCACCCCTTTTTTTCTCTCTCAGTCTTTGTTTCCCCCTTTTCACTTTGCCCTCTTCTCCTTGCACTGTTCCCATGACAGCTGCACACCCCCACCCCCTCCCCCGCTAGCACTGAACTATTTGTTGCCCAATTATCTTAATGATTGACTTCTGCTACTCAGGACCCTGTAGATTTTGTGGAGTCAGGATCTGAGCTTTAGGTTTCTTGTGGACTCAGGGCACTTGGCACAACAGTAGGCAGGCAACAGTAGCTCTACAAACTCATCAAAAGGTGATTTACAATTAGAGACCAGTTGGGGAACTGATCAGAGCCATGAAGGAAGGAGCTTGAAGCTCGGAATCAACACTTGTCCCAGAGTACTGGCCTCCCAGCCTGGATATGCTGCTTTTCCCTGTGCAGTCTTGGGCAAATTTCTTCACCTCATCAGATCTTTGTTTCCTTGTCTATAAAGGAGAAGGGTGTATGGATGACTTCAAAGGCATCTGCCTGGGATAAAACTACGACACCCATTTCCATTATCTAGAGTTTTCCATTCTAATTCATCGTTCCGTGTTTCTATCTTTCTATCCTTGTGGACCTAGAGCAACATTGCAGCAAATATTTTTTTCATTTTGAAGACCCTTTTAAGTATTTGATGCTATCTTTTGACCTCTTTGGCTATATGAGCAAAATGGTCATATTATGATAATGATATCCTACGGGATCTTAAAATATCAGGAGCAAAAGGGACTTTACAGATAATAGTAGTTACCATTCATTAAACAGCTAGTGTGTCCTTTTCCTCATTATGGTTAGTACTTCTGTAAGCAAAACAAGGGGTTGTACTACCCCCCCCCACCGTTTTCGAGAGCTGTGTTGCCTAATGAGCTGCACAGAATCAGACAGTCTTAGGTTCAAGTCCCAGTTCTGCCAGTTATTAGTTGTGTGACACTGGACACTTAACTTCACCTCTCTAGGTCTCAGTGTCCTCCTTTGCAAAAGGAGAGTATCACTCATCTCCTATAGTTGTGATGAGGATTAAGTGTGATAATAAATCTGCACATTTACACAGATCTACATACAGATAATGAATCTGTCATAGAGCAAGGGCTCAAGAAGTGGCTGATTCTGTTGTTAACATTTACTAGGAGTAACTCATCCAGGGTCAAAGTCACTAAGTGGCAGAGCTGGGTGTCAGCCTGGGTGCACTGCTCCAGCGCCCATGCAGTTACCCACAATGCTGAACCTCCTCAGTGGTTCATGGGACCCATTTTGGGGAAGTGGATGGAAAGTTAGTTTTGGATGCTACATCTCACTGTGACTTAGCACAATCTACTCCTTTCTGAATTTCAAACAGACACAACATCCTGGGGATGAAGGAAGAATGTGGGAAAAGTATAGGACAGGGACCCTGGCCTTGAGCTTTGTGGATACCAGGACCAGAGTTTGTGGCAGGCTCTGAAGAGAGGGGGATATAAGAGTTGGTGTATGTGACCTGTTGGACATCCACTGGCCTCAGAGTTAAGCTGAGGATTTTCCTCTATAGCCTTCTATAAGGGAGTGTGTATGTGTGTCCGTGTGTATGTGAAGAAGCCAGGTGCAATTAAAAAGAAAATTGACAAGTTCTACCAAGAAGGTGGAATTGAAAAGGAAAAATTGATGGATTCCACCAAGGAGGTTTTATCCAGTTACCCACCCCCACCCCCTGCTGGCCCCCAACACCTTATTTCTGACAAGTATCATGTACTAACCAGCTGTGCACCTGGAGCCATAGCCCTAGCACCCTATTCCTGAGACTTGAAAAGGCACAGCTCCCAACTCAAAGGACCCTTCTGGGACCTGGTCTTTGATTTTCCCATCCGTGCCGTGAGTAGACTGAACTAGATGATCTGTAGGGGACAGGAAACAGATTTGGGGCCAGACCAAACCGAGGCAAATCCCTACGTACCGCTAATGGAGGGACTCCTTTCCTGCTCCCTAAGGGAGGACAGTGCCACCTATCCCAGTCTGTGGTAAGGAGGAGATGTGTGTTAAGTGCTTCGTAGAGTTTGCGCACATGGTAAGCATTCGGTAGACCATGACGAAGGCAACGATGAGGACTACGACTAAGACAGTGATAACAGTCATGGTGGTGATGATGGAATCACAGTAGAAGTAATACCAGAGGGTCTTCCAGGTCCTCTAAAAAAGTAAACTAGAGGGAAATGGGAAGAGGAGGTCAGCTGTACATAGGTGGGTGAGAAGTTTTGGATACTTCATGGGTAGCAGAAGAGCCACACGGAGATGTCCCCTTGGGAGTTGGAAGCAAGGAACTAGAGAAGAAGGTTTGGCCCTTCTGGCTCTGGCTTTCCTGTTTGACTACAGCAGACATGAATTGAGCCCCTTCCACATGTGGATCATTCCACTGGCCATGGTGGCAGCATGACATACAAGAAAAGATGGTTTTGAAATAATGTGTTATAATAGGAATATAACTACCTTATGGGGTGGTTGTAGAGATTAAATCAGAGGATATGATTTTGAGCACAGAGACTGGCCCTTGGAAAAATCCGTGGGGAGGATTGTTGCCATCCCTTTTTATAAACAATCTAAGAATGAAGAATGCTATTTGAGAATACCATACATTCTCGATCTAATACCTTTTTTTTTTAAATTTTATTTATTTATTTGTCAGAGAGAGAGAGAGAGAGAGAGCCCATAAACAGGCAGAGTGGCAGCCAGAGTCAGAGAGAGAAGCAGGCTCCCCGCTGAGCAAGGAGCCCGATGTGGGACTCAATCCCAGGACCCTGGGATCACAACCTGAGCCAAACACAGCGGCTTAACCAACCGAGCCACCCAGGCATCCCCTAATACCTTTTCTAATAACCATGTGTTAAACAGATGTCTCAGAAACATTTAAGGAAGTAATTCAGTTGTTGCAATTTTTAATTTTCAGTTCTGCTCCCAGAATTATGTCAGGTACATCAGTATAAGGAACTAGAAGGCAAAATCCCCGCCGTGGACATCCTTAAAGTCCAATTGGGGAAATAAGACATACCTGTGGCAGAGATAAAAATGAAAGATTTTTGAACAAAGTGAGTGGTGCCCAGATGAGGATGAGGCCAGTGGCTCTGCGAGGGCTCAGACGGCTCAATAGCATTTGGGCAGATGGCTCGATGGGTGCCATTTTTGATGAGCCAGATTGAGCAAGGAAAAGACTCACTTGCTACAAAGGGTTAGCGACCCTTACCTGATGTCAAGCACTAGCCTAGGCTGAGGATACAGCAAAGAGGAGCAACTTTTGACCATGCAGAGAGGATTATGGAGCGGAGAATGAGAGACTTGAACGGAGCATTGGAACTACGGACTGCTGAGCAGGTGGAGGGGTGTACCTGAGCTGCCCTGACTTACCTTTCTGTTCGGATCTTCTCTCACCAGGGTCTTTTCACTTAATTCACCTGATGTTTGATGACTACGTGCTCTACCTGTTAGAATCCCTGCACTGTCAGGAGCGCGCCAATGAGCTCATGCGAGCCATGAAGGGAGAAGGAAGCACTGGTAAGCTGGCATTTCCCTGGGAATTGCCCTACTTGGCAACTTGATTTGTATCCTTACTTCCATGTTCTGTGTTTCTTCAGCTCTGTCTTCCAAAGAATTTAGCTGTAGTTGGCAGGGCAAGTGGTGTGAAACCAATGATGACTTTTTCTTCTTTAGAGTGGGCACACACGTGTGTGGAATTGTCTTGCCTGCCATGATGGTGGTGCCCAAATCATCAGAGGGCTTGAAGCAGGGGGTGACATGACACAGATGAGAAGGAATATTCCAATTGTTAAAGTCCTTTAAAGACAACTTGCCTTGACTTTTGGTTCTGAGGACCCACCCTTTCTCTACCCGTAGCAGAAGTCCGAGAAGAGATTGTCTTGACAGAGGCCACCCCGCCAACCCCTTCCCCAGTGCCATCATTTTCACCAGCAAAATCCGCCACGTCCGTGGAAGTGCCACCTCCGTCCTCCCCGGTCAGCAACCCATCCCCTGAGTACACTGGCCTCAGCACCACAGGTAATGAAAGGCCTCCCGCAGGCTCTGAATGCGGAGTTGGTATTTAAAGCCAGAGCTTTCTGGAAAAACGTTCTTTCCCTTAGCGCCCCCCCCCCCACAAATGCCAAGTATTTGCCTGGATTTATAGATGCCTTGCAGTTACTCATTTATTCGTAGGTACATATTCTTCTTGCTTCTGTTTTCAAGTTGGCAGATGGAGTACATGATAACCGCCACCCTCCCCAACTAAGCCACGGAAATGATGAGAATGATATGACATAAATTAATACACAGCCAATTCTTGAAAACAAGAAAGGGAGCTCTCTGTGAACCAGAAATTGAGCGGCATCTCTGGAAAGTAGGGCAGCCAGGAAGCCATATGCTAAGACATGGCAACCGTGGCAAGGCGGGGGCGGTAAGCAAGGTGCGGACTGGTGCTCTGGGGCTCCCGAGGAAGCGGAGACTCCCTCTGGTGGGAGGCCCCGAGGAGGACCTCACACGGGAGTGGCTCTTCACTTTAACTGAGGACGGCGGAGCAGAAGGGCCTTCTAGACAGAGGGCGGTGCGAACAGATGCACAGGGCTGGGGGCGTGTGAGGCTCTCTCAGGGCACGGGAAACTTTTCAGTAGGAGGTCCGCGAAGGCATCCTGTGAGGCTAGACGTGTAAGCTGCAGTCACATCCTGAAGGATCTCGAATGCCAAGACACAGTTCGGAAAATTGAGAAGAGGTGATGCAAGGATAATAATAACTAGTTGCTAAGGTCCGGTGTCACTGGGGTAGTTGTCTCACGATAACACTGCAAGGTTGTGGCGGAGAAGTGAAGGGTGACAAAGGTTAAGTCCCTTGTTCTGGGCACCGCACTCACTCAGCCATTCAACAAATGTCCTTAAGACATTGCTCATGAGACTTGTGGAAATGAGACTGTGGCGTTGGCATATTCAACATGTGTTCGCTAGTATATGATAACATGTTGTGTGTGTGTGTGTGCGCGTGTGTATGCCTCCAGAGCAGCTCATGTTGCTGCTGTGGGATCAGAGGAGGTACGAAAGCCAAGAGCACTTTGCTAATAGTGAGGTTCAATCCAGATAAAAGGGGTTACTGTGATTAATGCCTAGAAGGTGGGGGCTATGGGGAAGCTCTGGACGCCAGAGGAAGCAGCAATCCCCTCCCTTCCCACCTGAACTCTGGCAGGCAGGAGGGAAGCCTGCAGGAGAGAGGGGACATGCCAAGGCAGTCTTAGAAGCTGACAGAGAACCGACAGGAGAGGAATGAAAGGCAGAGACGACCTTCTGCTAGATGGGTCCTGGGTCGGGCTGGGCCAGCCGAAGCACCAGTCCTTGCAGAGTGGAGGGCTTCTAAGACTGTGATGACCCGTTCGTCATCTTTCCTTCCAAACCTGCTTAACTCTTCTCCCCGTTACCCAAATCCAAATCTGGGAGTCGGCTTCAAATCTTTCCCTCAGCTCCTGTATTCGTTAGGTTAAGTTTAGCTAGGTTAAGCTAAGCCACTGTAACAAACAGATCCAAAAGTTCGAGTTAACACAGGAGAGAGCGATTTCGTGCTTACAGACAGTCCTGGCAAGGTGTTCAGGTAGAGAGGAGGCCCTCTTAAATGCAACCATTTGGAAATACTTGGTCCACCAGCTTCTCCTGGGAACGTCTTAGAAATGCTTGTTATCAGGTCCCATCACAGACCTTCTGAATCAGAAACTGTAGGGGCGAGGCCCACAGATTCGCTCAACACGCCTCCAGGTGATTCGGATGCACACCAGCTAGAGGCCCACTGCCTTTGGGCTTTGTCAAGTCTGCAACCAGCTGACAGAAGTAGAAGGTGGGTGGGGAGAGGAGAGCGCATGCTCCCAAAGCGTGCACCTTCCTGGCCTGCAGGGTGTGCGTGTCCCTTCCGTTTCCATCCCCCCAGCAAGGACTCAGTCACAGGGGCTCATGTAACTGCAGAGAGCAGCTGGGAAATGAAGGCTCCTTTGACGAACCTGTTTCTTCCCATCCCACCATCTCCGTGTGTTCGGGTCTTCCCCCACCTCTTGCGGACATCGAGCGGATTCTCAAGCTGGTGACCTGCCTCTCCTCTTGTCTGTCCACTTTCTTGCTGCCCACTGCACTGGTTTCCCTCAAAGTGCGGGGGCCGAGTCCACCACCCCGAACTCGGGCCTGTGAGCAGGCTCGTTCTCCAGTCGCTGCTCACCCCGCTCCCCCTGCACCGGAGGAAATCCCAGTCGTCTTCATTTCCCTCATGCTCCAGGTTTGTGTTTTCCTCCAGACCCTCACCGCATGCTTGAGCTTACTTTTATCCTAGTTCTACTTAGAATTATTTTCAGAATAGACTAGGGACTAAATCGCATGGTTTTGAAGACCAAATGAATAGGGTGAGATTGCCTTATTTAGGATGTTGTGTTTTACCCATTCATTCGTTTACGGGTCCATCCGTTTATCTGCCCATTTATCCAATAACTGTTTCTCCAGTGGCTTCTATGTACTAAGTACTTCAGATCCTTGCCTCCTGGGACGATGTTATTTAGAGGTTCACGATCTGATGGGTGCTAACTAGGGCTGATTTGGGAGCAGGGAAGGGAGGAGCACAAAGGGAGGCCGTGCGTCTGGAGGGTCTGTGAAGACTGGATAATGCGAGAGCAGGTGGTCTGGGCAGAGGGAGGAAGCATTAGTACAAAGACCTGGAGGCAAGAGACAGCATGTCCTTTTCAGAGAAGCTAAAATATATATCCTAGGAATCTTCTATTAATTCCTTGCCTCAAGTCTCCTTCTCCAGAACTAGCGCTACTCAGGAACGAGCAGGTGCTTAAGAGCCTATCAGGTGCTTGCCCTCGTGTGCACTGTGCCAGGGGCAGAAACTTGCCAAGGAACTCAACGTCCTTTGTCGGGGACTGCTAAGGAGACTGGATTCTTCAGAGTATTGCGAAGGAAGGGGGTCAGAAACTGGCATTAGATAGAGCTTTGATTTTGCTTTGGGTACGCGGCTGGAAAGCGCCCTCACCTTCCGTGGGAATTTACATTCCGCCATCACATACGTGTCTACATGGATGCACCTGGAATCGTGCTTTGTCTCCACTTTGAGGAGGAAGAACACGCCCCCTTCCCCTAACCCTCCCATTTTCCCTCCATTGTGGGCTGTTGTAGCTCCTGCTTAGAGGCTTGGGAAGAGGAGCCGTAGGGGAAAGAACCACCTTAGTCACGGGGAGAGAACTCTGAGCCCTGTTCATAGCTCTTCAGCCGCTTGGGGGTCCTTCCCAGGCCGGAGCATAGGGCAAGGCAGGAGCCAGGACGGTAAGAAGGGCTCTCAGCCTCACCCCCACCGCCCCGGGAGACACACGTGAGCCGATCGGTGATAACGTCCTTACTGTGAAAATAAAATAAACAGGGAAGCCATGCACACCAGACAGTCGTGCGTTGTGGAGCAGAAATGGTTTGTAGGGGGAGCTCCTCGGCAGCTCATCCAGGAGACTGTGAGGCAAGAAGGGGACAGGAGGGCTGTGAAGGCAGGATGTCCAGAATCTCTTCATAATTCTTGTCCGGCTAGTGGGTCTGCCTGGCTTTCCTCACAGCGCTGTGGAGGCCTCGAGGTGTGGCAGGTGTGATCGTCAGACCCCCAGGAATATCATAAATGTGTTCAGAGATTTCTGCACAATGTGTTCAAGAGTCATAAAAGTAGCTTCTTAGAAATACAAATGTGAAACAGGTTCTCTTCAGATGATCGTAACCTTTGAAGATTTTGGCACATTCCCGCTTTGTTCTCAGACATCTCCAGGGGGCATTAAAAATGTCATCCTAGATAAAACTATGTGTAATATTTTTCTCAAGCACCACTTTTGAAATATCCCACAGCTAAATTGGACTGGATCTTGGCATGCATGTGGGTCATGGTCTTGGAGGAGACATTAACATAATTTCCTAACAACACGGATGGTTTTATAGATATTGCATTATAAAAGACATGTATCCCTGATATATACCAAAGTATTAGAAAATGTACTGTGGTAGGTTTCTTAAATTTGGGGACTTGGGCAAATATTCCGTTGACCAATATTGTGAATTGGAAAACAATTATTGTGTATCTTATAAAATGCATTTGCCATGTTTCTTTTTTTTTTTTTTTTTTTTTTTTTACTTAACATATTGTTTTTTTTTCCATTTTATTTTTTTTTTTTTTTTAAAATTCATTGTTTTTTTTTTTAT